TATCTTTTGTAGTTAATTCAAAGTTAGGCAAAAAATATAAAAATACAAATATGGATAAGATATTAACTATAAAAGAAATTGCCTAACTTTGAATTAACTACAAAAGATATGCTATTAGGAATGCCATTTTTAGAAAAATTATACCCACATATAATAACAAAAACACACTGGTGGTTCACGACACCGTGTAAACAAAAAATAGGAGCAAAAAGAGTAAATAATAAAAAACGAAAAACAACAGAATGGATAAAAGGAAGTGAAAAAATTACACAAAAATTAGAAAATATAAAAGAAAAAGACCCTAAAATAGAATTAATTATATATTCTATAGATAAAGTAAAAATAATTCAAGATAAGTTAGAATTATTATATAGTGAGGATCCTCTACAAGGATGGGAGAAACATAAAACAAAAGTAAAAATTGAGTTAATTGATAATAATAGTATAATAACCCAAAAACTATTAAAGTATAATTTTAATGATTTAACCGAATTTAGGATACATATAAATGAATTACTAGAAAAAAGATATATACAAGAAAGAAATAGTAAGCACACAAGCCCGACATTTATCATAAATAAGCATAGTGAACAAAAAAGAGGAAAAAACAGAATGGTTATTGATTATAGAAATTTAAATGCAAAAATCAAAACATATAATTATCCGATACTAAATAAAATACTAAAGATAAGACAAATACAAGGATATAATTATTTTAGCAAATTTGATTGTAAATCAGGATTTTATCACTTAAAACTAGAAGAAGAATCTAAAAAACTAACAACATTCACCGTAACACAAGGATTTTATGAATGGAATGTATTACCATTTGGATATAAAAACGCACTAGGTAGATATCAACACTTTATGGACAATTACTTTAAACAAATAGAAATTTGTGTAGTGTACATTGATGATATATTATTATATTCCAAAACACAAGATGAACATATAAGATTATTAGAAAAATTTATACACATCATAGAATATTAGATATAAGTCTAAGTAAAAAGAAAGCAGATATAATGAAAAATCAAATAGAGTTCTTAGAAATACAAATTGATAAAAACGGAATAAAAATGCAAACACATATAGTACAAAAAATAATTAACTCAAATGAATAACTAGACACAAAAAAGAAATTACAATCATTCTTAGGACTAGTAAATCAAGTAAGAGAATATATACCAAAATTAGCAGAGAATTTAAAACCATTACAACAAAAATTAAAGAAAGATATAGAATATCAGTTTGATAAAAAAGACCAAATACAAAAACAAAAGGTAAAATTATTATGTAAAAACTTACCTAAACTATATTTTTGGATGAAAACAAAAAAATTTACTTATATAGTAGAATCAGATGCGAGTGAAAAAAGTTATGGAAGAATATTAAAATACAGATATGATGGCAATACGATAGAACATCATTGTAGGTATTATTCAGGAACATTTAATAATATAGAAATAAAATGGGAAATAAATAGAAAAGAATTATATTCAGTGTATAAGTGTTTATTATCATTTGAACCATATATTGTATATAACGAATTTATTATAAGAACAGATAATACACAAGTAAAATGGTGGCTAACAAGAAAAATACAAGATTCGGTAACAACAAAAGAGATAAGGAGATTGATATTAAATATATTAAATTTTACATTTACAATTGAAGTAATAAAAACTGATAAGAATGTTATTGCAGATTACCTATCACGACAAAGCTACTCAGACTGAGACTGAGGAAGAAGATACAATCGAAAAGATATTCAAAGCTATTACTACACTTTGTACAAAAGTAGATAGTATGGACAACGAGATACAAAAGCTAAAGACTAATGAAGATAATCTGAAGTCTAAATCTAGTCAGCAGCATGACTATAAAAATGCGGAGCTACGTCGATCGGAAGACGGAAAAAAATCAGAGCTAAAAGGAGACGATGGAAAACTTCTTAAAACCCATAATGTTTGTTTAAATACAGCTGCAGGTACAAGCAAACAAGTTAGAGATAAACAACATAAAAATGCAAACTTAAACCAGCTATTCGCAAAATCATTTACCCAAAGGACACCTAGACATATGTCCATAGAACCACAAACATCTACATACGCAGATAGTTTGCAAAACTAAAATGAGAAAAAGACATATAACTACATCACACGACTTATATCGAAAATATACACAAAATCCAAACTTATTTAAATCGCAACCCCATATCAACTACAAAAGAACCCAATCAAGATTATTTGACACAAAAGTTACAATGATATAAAAAGTTAATTGCACGGCCAAAAACTAATGTTAATTTAGTAAGAACATGTTACAACTACGGACTGTTAAATATCGTATACACATACGACGGAGAAGAAGTTAGTGGAATACCGGAGCTACACAAAGCATTCGTCACATAGAAAAGAGTTACAAAAGGAAATTTATTTTATATAAAATTCTATACAGCACCAACAGAGATATTATACGAGGAAATAAAACCTCCAATACAGGTTATCAAGGTAGGATTGACTAAATATATGATTATACCCGAGGACATCGGACAACAAGAAGAGATATGCAAAATAGAGATACCAAGTTTTTATGCTAACAAAAGAATAATTGGTATATCAACTATCATACAGGAGCTAGCAAATAATTATTTAAACGGAAATGTTATATGGAGCTACTATGCAAGAGATCAGTTAATGATTTATTCCAATTCAAGGGAGCTAAGGAAAACAGATATGGATGAAGTCCAGAGATGGATTTTATCATTACTTAAGCCAGAAGAACGACCTACAACACGAGCACTAAAAGTAGAATTTATTTCGGCAGAGTTATTAACGAGATATTGCAAGCTAATTGGTCACAAATACCCTGACCACATTTGTTCAAAATGCAACGGAGAAGATAATATAATCCCAGACGTCCAGCTGGAATAAGAGATAAAGACGGAAGATGATGAGAAGATAAAGATGAAGATAAAAGAAGATAAAGATGAAGATAAAAGGAAACACAAAAACGTGCTTAGCCACACAAAGCCAAAAGTAGATATGTAAAAGTCTTGAAATAAATAGTAGTCACATTATTAGGTACAAGTTAGTAGAAAAACTTAGTCAACATATGCATGTGCATTATTAAAGATATGTTGACAAGTGTAAAGTATGGGTAGTATGTATTATTAAGAAGACAAGTGTGTATACATGTCGTAAATAGGATAGTGGTAGACAAAATAAGAACTATTCATGAATAGTAGTCATGAATAGTATTAGAGTGTGTATGTCTATATATAGACGCAGTTGTAAAACTTTGAAAGGCAGGCAACGCCTAAATAAAAACTCTCATTTCAAAAAAACTCTCTTAAGATACTAAATACTTAAAAGCTAATGGATAAATCTGAAATCCAATCAGATATTTCAGATAGCATGGCTAAGCAAGAGGCAAATGTATATTGTTCAAAAAATATGCGGAACTAATTTCATATATTCATGAATATCATATATATGATTGAATAAATTTATGTTAGTTATTATGTATTAGAATTATTTGAATCATGATTTCTAGTTTATTAGCACACTGGAAACAGGGAGAAAACTTTTATACTATGCCATCCTAATGTTGAAACCGGTAGGCGAGGAAGTTGTTTAGGGGAGTAAACAAAGTTGAGGCGCTGATAAGAAGGAAGTATCCGCTAAAGTACGATGCTAGTAGTGACAAGAAAACATTATAAAGATAATCTAGTTCATAATGATCTAATATGAATTTAATCAATTATGAATATGATAGGAAGGAATAATTTGAAATAAAAAATCTGCATGATAAAGAACATGATTACTCACGTTCATAATGAAATGATAAAAAACTACGAAACTTTAATATTATATATACTTAAAGATATAAAAATAATTGAATTAAGAAGGATCATATGGGAAAAAATATTTAATGATAACGAATCGAAAGATATATTAAACCAACAATGGTATAAAATAGACTTACATGATTTAGACTACGAAAGAATAGAATGGTACGATTTAGAAATAAATTCAGACTAAAATGAACTACGAATATTTACAATATTGGACAGAATCTATGAACGATATAAAATTATTAGAACAATTAATGGAGGAAAATTTATATATGTACCAAAGAACCCAAGATATGTTATATCTAGAATATATCATAAATAATATTAATGAAATATTCAGATTAAAACAACTATCGAAAGAATATTACAATAAATATTATTATATTTTACCATGAATTTCACACAAAATATTAAAGAAATATCAAGATTAAGACACTTAGCAAAAGAATACTACAATAAAATCTTTAAAATAAAATACTCACCTACCACACTACCAGCTACCACACTACCACATCCATGAATCCCCCAACTACCAATTCCGCTCCGAAAAATGCTATCAAATTGTTGGAGAATTTTTATATTTATTTTATAAGTATTTTCTTATTGGTTAAATCGAAATGGAACGTGAAGAATCAATAAAAAATATCTTATTGATTTGACGTATTTAAAAATAAAAAACTGAACAGATAATATATAAAATCGAACGATGCACACTCTACCTTTATTTATAGGACAAACTAGATTAATCCCAAACTTAAGATTTCTAACTTTTCTCAAAAAAAAAAAAAAAAAAACTATAACATAGATATTTATTGTAATGTAATACAAATATATTTATAACCAAAAAAATATGCTAAAAATATGCGTTTGAATAGTTGACCAAATTAGGGGAAGAAGCAAAGGTGATGGTTGGAATATGGAATCTGCGGTTGGAGTTGCTCCGCCCACGTCACTGCCTACGTTTTTGCATCGCTGGAATTGAAATCTATTACTATGATACAATTTGATTGTCAAATACTAAAATATGAAACCGGCGAAGGAGAGAATGAGGTTAAGTTTCTTGGAAAGGCAATAGAGAACTTGGAGAACACTCTATCTAGCACATACGCCTATATTTTGGGGAGTTCAGCGACAAAAGGGGAAATTAATTATCTGTTGCATCAATCCCATGAGCATCGGACTAAAGAGGTTATCGAATTCATTGGTAAAAATGGCGGAACAAATCAATTCATCAGCCGCCGATAACACAGCTGCCGGAGCAAAACGGTGGTCATTTTGGCCCTCTTCTCTTCGTTGGATACCTACATCTACTGACCACATCATCGCTGCTGAAAAACGTCTTCTTTCTCTTGTTAGGTAATTCTTACTTATTTGTGTATTCCCGAATCCTCTGATATTTTCTGTTTAAATTCATTCATGTATATGCCTCAATCACATTCAATTGTTCTCTTAAGTCTTTTTCTTGTTCCAACCACATAGCTGAGTGGTGGTCAATGGTCATGTAGGAGAAAACACTGCACATAATTCATGCTACAACACTTAGCGTGCTTCAGGCTATAGGTTCACACCAACTTCATCTGCTTGGATATAGAATGTTTAACTACTAGATTAGTCAGAGTGCGTGTAACCTAGTTTGCCCAGTTCTGTGGAAAAAAACTCATAATTATCCATTTCTCTCTTCAGTATTTATGGTAGTTAGACTGCGCTCAACCATTTTTTAATTAGTCAATCATGTAGCTAATTTGATTGGATGTGTTACCTATTGTACTTAAAATAATTGTTGTCATGGTAAATGATATTTTATACTACTGCATTTCAGCGTTATTAAAAGTGATCGGTGAATTCAGGGGTCACAGATGAAACCATATGCTTTAGATAGATGTGCATTTCTAAGAATGCAACTCAAAGTGGTCACAATAAGAAACATTCAATTATTTAAATCTCAACTTTGAGTAGTCAGATCAATACCAGCATTATTGTAAATGGATTCTTGAAATTAATTACTCTCGAAGGTGTTTCACTGGGTATGAACTTTAAAAAATGAAAGAAGAAATTAGTCTAAAATTATAAATATTTGTATGTCTATAAATCATCTCATTAAGGATAAAATGAAAAGTGTCTCATAAATTAAGGCGTATAAGTCGAGATTGAGAGAGTATTTGAATTGTAATTTGATTATTGTAGTACTAATTCATATATGTGTAACTATTACGTTACATAATAGTGAGCTTCACTTTTCTCTTTCCGTTTTAAGCCCAAAGACCTTGTTGCTCGTTTGCGCTTCTCCTTTTACAAACACTGCTGTATTCATTGGTTTAGTGAGTGGAAACTTTGGGGATGCTTTTAGAGTCAGTAATGCACAAATTTTTCATTTTATTTTATGTCGGGCAACATGTAGTTACGTTAAGGCAAACTATTCTTTCATCTATCATGAAAGTTTGTATGTTTCTTGGTTTTGTATCTTGTGGAATGCCTGCTTCAGTAAATCAAAACTGCAACTTTATGGTTATTGATGCTCAGAGGCTCACCTTGATTTATGCCTTTTGTCCAATATTAGGACTCCTTATACACAAGAGCAGGTCAACATTGGGTCTGGTCCACCAGGTTCAAAAGTTAGATGGTTTCGATCGGTGAGCAATGAACCAAGATTTATCAATACTGTTACTTTCGACAGCAAAGAGGGTTCTCCTACTCTTGTTATGGTCCATGGATACGGTGCCTCTCAAGGTTTCTTCTTTCGGAATTTTGCTGCCCTTGCAAAGCATTTCAAAGTAATTGCTATTGATCAGCTTGGGTGAGTATATATTATGTGTAAATTTATGAGCACATTCGTAATTTCATACGGATGTTTTCCTCCCTCTTGAAACATTCTATAGTGGTACTTACCCCATATATGTGAAGTGATATAGAAGAGTAAATTTAATGACTTTTTGATTCTAGATGTTTAGTTGTTTGGTAAGTTGCAATAACTAAGATATACTGAAAGTGAAATTGTCTTCTAATTATAGGTTATTGCGCATAAATGTATACTTTGGGACACATTTGGGTCAATTTAGTTGGACAATATGCTCTTAACCAAGCATTCAAATCTTCATTGGATGGAGATATTTACATACCAACTGAAAATAGATTCCCTTTGGGTGTATCATAGTGAAGTTCTGTTTATTGGTTTGCATATTTACTTGAGTTATAACTTGAGCAATCCCTTCATTTAGTCCTGCTAGTTGCTGTAGTTGTTGGATGATCAGCTTTGTGCTAGTTTCTTTTTTGTTTAGTTGATGCTTCAGTGAATGGCTAATAATGAGAATGATTCGAGCGTCACTAATTTTTCATTTGAAACCTACGTAATGTTATTATGGGGTGATACAATAATGTTGTAGCCAAGTTATATTAATTAGTAGTTAATGAGGTACACAATGTGCCGTTGCCCTCAAACTGAATAGATTGCAACGAAATTATTCAAGGCACTACCTGACTTGTGAGTGCAGAAAGTTTAAAGTTTTAAAAGATTATCAGGGTTGATTTTCAGCCCTTTCTATGTAGAAAATATTTATACAAGTATCACATGAAGGCTTTCTGTGTCAACCTTTGTAAAATAGACCTATTTTTGGGAATGGTAACAAAAAAAAAACGATGTATCTGTGTTGTGACATTGACACTTATTTATTCTCCTGGGAAGTTTGTGGAGGCTTACCGGTCTAATTGACTATGCGTTGCTTCCTTTTGCTTTCTTTAGTTAGCAGTAGCTTCAAGAGCTGCTGTTATAAGTCCTAGTGTAGAACGAAAGGAGTGGTGAAAGTCTTCCAATTGATGTCACTTTTATGTAGAATATAAAGAACGAAAGAGACAAATGAGCATAATGGTAGTTCTCTGACTGGCTAATGTATTATGCAGCTGGGGTGGATCAAGCAGGCCTGACTTCACATGCAAAAGTACCGAAGGTTAGTCTTACAAGTTGATTACACATTTGAGTACCTTTATTCATTTGGAAGATACCATATCTGCGGCTTATTTACTGAACAATTTTGTTCTGAAAGAGGCATCTTTTCTAATGCAGAGACTGAAAATTGGTTTATTGATTCCTTTGAGGAGTGGCGCAAAGCCAAAAATCTTAGCAACTTTATTTTGCTTGGGCACTCTTTTGGAGGGTATGTCGCTGCCAAATATGCTCTCAAGGTGATCAATTTTCATAGAACTCAATTTTTCAGAAAAAATAAGAAATTCATAGAAATGTGAAATTATAGTTTAATATATATGGTTATGTATATTTTACTGCTGATTAAACGATTCTATTTCTCTTGTAGCATCCTGAGCATGTTCAGCAGTTGATTCTGGTAGGACCAGCCGGATTTACATCACAAACTGAACATATGTCTGAACGGATGACCCAGTTCAGAGCAACTTGGAAGGGAGCTGTCTTGAATCATCTGTGGGAGTCTAATTTTACCCCGATGAAAGTTATCAGGTAGATGTTTTTCTAAACACTTGCTTCTTCTCTAGTCTAACATGCTGCTGGACATTTATTTTGCATCTTTTACTGCATTATACAAACATTTACAGTGATACTCTTGATATGTCTGATTTTTCCCATTTGTTCCTTCTTCTCACTGTAGCCTCTGGTTAGTGCAAGCTTTTACTTTACTTGGCGAACATTATTCATTTCAAGACTAACGCCTAAAATGTTTATGATTCATTTCTCCTTTGTTCCCCTTCTTCGAATGATATGATCATATGGCGAGCATATGTACTTCTGTTGCAAATGCTTTGCCTGGGTGTCAATGTTTTGAGGAATGCATGATAAAGGACCTGAGGGAACCCATATAAGATACTGACAGGTGGATTCAATATACTCTTTTGGTTTCTTAGCTATCTAATCTTAAGTACTGTCCCACTCGATGGTTTGCTTCGTCTTAATTTAGTTGTCACCTTTCCTTGAATTGTTCACACATTCCCAAAGTTTGAAAGCAAGTGTAAGACATCAAGCACTTCATCATGCCTCTATCCGAAATTAGTTGGCATCATCTAGATGAATCCACTACATTGTACGTAACACAAAACGTCTAGCGCAAAAAAAAAAAAAAAAGATATCAAACCTTTTCTTTCTCCCCTTTAAAAAGATGTTTGGTTGGGATAACAGGGTAACTTTTCATCTTAGTATGTAAATAGGAAATGAAGGGACTAACCTTCTCTTTATTTGATTTATCATAGTTATCTGTAAAATGAAGCTATTCATCATGTGTTTGGATTTTACGTGATACATGAGCCATACATATTTTTTTTAATTTATGAAAAGAAAAGACTGCCGTTGTCCTGAAAAATGGCTTTTATAAGTAAGGGTACCCTTGTGGGCTGTGGTTGCTAATCTTTCCCTCTGCCTCACTCTCTCATAATCCTGTAGGTGTTCAGTAACTAAAAGAGTTATTAAGTGCTAGAGACATTTCTTTTAAGACAAGATACCCAGTATTTGTCAATGATTTGACAAAAAAGATTGACTCCACAGGTGGTTGTTTCATATTCTAGATTTTTGAAAAATCATACATGTTGATGCCTGTGCATATTTACTGACTTGTAGAGTTGGTACTACTCATATACTTGATAATTGATACTTTATCTTGTATATTGACTTCTTTTTGTGGCTCTAAGATGCTCCCTGTAGCTGTCCGGGATCCTTTCCTGGATTGAGGTTTTAACTGGCCTAGTAGTTCTGAAAGAATTTTGTATACATGGCCTTATTTATCTGAAGAGTGCTAATATTGCTGGCAATTTAAATAATGCAGAGGCTTAGGCCCATGGGGTCCAGACCTTGTTCGAAAATACACAAATGCTAGATTTACTGCATATTCTAATGGAGATGATTTGACTGAGGAGTCGTCCAGACTACTCTCAGGTACATCGCAAATCTTATTTATTGGCATTGTTTTTTTATTTCTCTTGATGGTTGTATACATTGCACATCTTTAGTTTCTAATATTGTTTGTTTGTTTTATGGAAGATTATGTATATCACACTTTGGCTGCAAAACCAAGTGGAGAGCTATGCTTAAAATATATATTTTCCTTTGGAGCATTTGCCAAGAGTCCTCTTTTATACAGGTGATATACCCACTCTCTGTCTCTCTCTCCCTCTCCCTCTTCCCCACCCCCATCTCTTTCTCTTCACACACAAGAACACATGCAAATGCATGCTAATGTTTATTACTGAGTTGCTGAAAACCTAAGATTCCTGCTACTGTAGATCCTTACAGTGTCTAGCTCTGAATCCGTTCAGTATTGTTCAGTTTCTGTTCTTATAATGCTGCTATAATGGCTTCTGCTTGCCACACTTTGCTGGAATATGAGGCTCTCATTAAAATTATAGAGGTAGAACTTGGATTCCCCACTTATTTACATGTGATATGAGATGTATCAATTTAGTTGCAAGCACAGATCATGAGTGATTTGATGCATGGGTTCTCTGTTTCTTCTCAATCAGCAGCGCGGCAGTAATTTATACTGTACCTGCAGGAAGGGGAAAAACATAAAGAGAGAAAATGTTTAAGACAATAGATGCCACTCAATAGTCCTTTTTTCACTTAAGAGGGTGGGAATGAGGGAACTAAATGGAAGACTGCATGAACTCTTCGGCATTACAGTTGATGCAGTAAGATAGAGCTTGCCTTCACATCTTTGCAATAAGGTCTTCTCGGAAGCTAATAAGAACTATTCCTCAGCTTATTTTTAGAATGCTAATTCAAATGAATTTGCACTGTGTAGACAGACTTTAGGATGTAAATGAGTAAAAGAATTGGATGGTTCAGTTATGCAGTTAATTCAAGCAACTAAATGTAAGTAAGAGCCTCAACTACATGGGAATTTATTCTCCAAAAAGGATGAGGGCCATGAAGATGTAGTAACTAACGTTGTCTGATTCCCAGGCACTGTAATTTTAAGCATTCAAAAAACGGCTGGACTGATGTGGTTTTTTTTTTTTTTGATTTTGCACCGGGTGTCCGAGTCTCTTTGAGCCCCGACTAATCCCGGGGGTGCACAGGCCCTCGGCAAGGAGTTTCCCGCAAGTGCACCACGGTTAATTCAGGTTTTACCCAGTCCGATGGCCCTCAGAAATTGTTTGCACCTAGTGGGTTTCGAACTTGAGACCTTGAAAGGGAGCAAACCCCAAGGCTCAAGTCAATTGCCAGCAGGCCAACCCCTGAGGGTTTGGACTGATGTGGTTTTTAATAAGTAATTATTTGCAATTGTATACTAATTTGCCATTGCTAGGAGCCCTCACCCTCTTGTCGTTTAAAGAAAAGGAAATTCTTGAACTGGTCATGATGACTAGCATACAACCATTATAAACTAAATAACACTTTTTGTGATAATTGATATTTTAATCTTTGCCTGTGTTAAATTGATCTTCATCTCCTGTTTAGACCTTTATATGAACTGGCATTGTAGGTGCTATAATACAGCGAATGAAACTGATAATAGAGGTCAAGGTAGTCCTAAAATCACATTGAGAAAAGTTACCGAAGACCTATATCTCTCTCTGAGTCAGTGCAGGTCTTAGCTTAGGAACATAACACAATTGAAGTGAAACATCTATTTAGGCTATACCAACTTGTAAAATCATGTTCGGTTGTTGTTACATTTCTCTCGGTCCTATATGCGCCTGGAGTCTTTCTTATTCTGTTTAAGAGACATTTATGTCCTAGTGGAAATATGAGATCTAGAGAACCTCAAGTATCCCTTGAAATACAAATTATTTTATATTGGAATAAAGTAGGCTTGATATGAGAGGAATAGGTATAGTCGATAGCTAGTTTAGGAGTGAGATGTAGTTGATTGATTTATTCATTATGGTAAAGTAAAATGCCAGGGAGAATAATTTCATTTGTTTGATGGAATAAGTATATTTCAGTAACCAAGATGATTTGGCATGGTATTCTCTGTGTGTAGTTAATAGTCTGTAGGATGAGATCATAAAAGTTAGTAAAGCTCAAACAAAATATGTAAAGAATGTTGTAGTATTCTGCTGATGGATGGGGTTCACATTACTTGATACCTGTTATTTCACGTGTCAGTAAGCATTTGACCTCTTTTATGCTATGAAGCATTTAGTGGCCGTGTGACCATGAATATTTTTACTTCTTCAGAGTTGAATTCGGGGAATCATGTTTGGCCATAAAATTTCAGAAAATTCCAGAATTCAACTCGACACTTCACAAGTTGAATTCCGGAATTTGAAGAACACAAGAAAGTTGTTTTACTTTTTTCACTCCAAATCACTCACAAAAGTCCAAAAACAACTCCAATTTGTATTCATGTCGGAACACAACTCCAATTTCCAAATGCCATTTTTCACTTTGAAAACAAAAACCACTTGTTTCATATTTCACAATTTTCATGGCCAAATCGCATGTCCAAACGCCAACAAATTATGCCTGGATTCAGGACATATTGACCCAAGAGTACCTGGATTTTGACTTCCATTCTTGCTGTGAATTCCTTGAAATTCTAGTGGACCATTTTTTTTAATGAACCATTTCTGCCCTTGGTACGTTCTACGCAGTCTGAGATGTTTACACACCATGCTCCTCCCTATGAACAAAGTTATTTAATTAATCTTGAAATAACATTATTCTTATGGGGCTTTGGGATTTCAGAAGCCTCTTAGATATTCCAGTCAAAATAGAACTAGCTAGGGGTACATGATGTTAAATTGTCAAGTAACTTGACTCTCTAAACCTTGATGAGAATCTTTAGCTGCGATTCTCTACTAATATCTTGGACTTCTTATATTCACAGAGCACCAGATTGGAAGGTGCCAACAGCTTTCATATATGGACATGAAGATTGGATGAATTACCAAGGAGCGCAACAGGCAAGGAAGAATATGAAGGTTCCATGTGAAATCATTAGGGTCCCTCAGGTTCTCTCTTTCTTAAACTTTTCCTGCCCCTCCTTAGAAAATAATCTTACTTCTAATTATTGTTTCCCGAAACTACATAGTAGTATAAAGTGAAGCACCAGGGATAATCCCCAGTTACTGACAAAACCCTTCTCTATCTTGCAGGCTGGTCACTTTGTATTTATGGAGAACACATCGGCATTCCATTCTGCTGTACTCTATGCTTGTCGTAGATTTATATCACCAGAGAACACCAATGACTCGCTTCCTGAAGGCTTGGTATCTGTCTAAAGGAGACACATTGCCGTGGTGCTTTCATTATGTGTGGTATAGGTAGAGATAATGTACAATAGATAGCATTGGTTTATGTTCTGTCAAATGAGTTTACTGGTCTGAGTGATGTATCCTTAAAATTTCTCAGAACATAAAGTCAATATTGAGGAAGCCATGAATGGGCAGCATTCTTTTCTGCCGCTCCTTGCTTGTAGGAAGTCGATGTACAGATAGCTGAATGATTTATGTTCTTGAAACTACATTTCTGTTCTTATATGAAATAGTGAAATATTATATGTCAATAGTTGCTAAATGAACAAGATAGTATATAAATAAAATTTGAATCAACTAGCATGTCAATTCCAGTTACATGGTTCTGATGTGCTTTGTCAAGAAGTAAAGTTACTACTCTGTTATTCAAAATAGACGTAATCAGTCACAAGTGCCATATTAGGTGTCAGCAGGGCCCAATTATTCTACATCCATTGGTATGAACCAGCCAAATGGATATCTACAATGCTTTCCATAAAGAGCTTCATACTAAGTGCTTTCCATGAATAGCTTCATATATTGAGTGTAATATAATTGTTGTAAAATAATATTAATTATATTAAAATATAATTTTGAATAAGTAATTAAATATAAAAAAAATGAAGTGCAAACTTTTGTAAATGATCAATGTGAATTGTCATATGATGACTTGTTTATTGAGGTCAAAATGAGTGATATCATATGAGCTACAAATATGACGATTAAACTTTATACCAGGGTGAATATAATATTTTTTTGTAGCATTATTATATTCTTCAATCACTATTACAATTTATAGTTGTACATCGTTTATTGAGTTGATATCACATTTTCTCAGTTGATTAGACTTTATATTTTGTTTATCCTGGTATAATTTTGTCTGTGTATATATTATTAATATTGTATTTAATATATAATCTCATGTGACAAAGTAATGTTCAAACAATAATATTTTTTTTTAATATATTGAACATTTAAGTTGACAATTTTTTTCATATTCTAATATTTATAAACCAACAAGAGGAGTAAGAAGACAGTATTGAGTCCAAAGAAAAGTGAATTGTACAAATATGATTAATTTGATTCATTACTTTCTAAATAACGTGTGTATTTCATTTATGAAACACGTGTTCTCCTTGATATATCTTGTTCCTTTCCATTGATCTACTCTGTCCCAGCTTTAAGAAAAAATGGTCTGCCTTAGGTGTAGTTGGAGAAGAAAGGAAAGGAAAGAATAGGGAACATCGAGCTTAATTCCAAGAATGTAACCATTTTCAGGTACATCGAGCTTAATTTTGATATTTTTCTCTTCAAATGAAAACACTTTCAATTTTTTTTTCAAATCCCTTCTTCCTGTGCGGAAAGTCCAGTATTCCTACTTCACTTTATTGAAAGTAAAGTATTTAAAAATTGCTATATATGGGAAATTATATATATAATATATCAAAATATTTTTAATCTTGTGATCTTAAACATGTCATTTGGAAGTTTGACAAAAGAGAAAGAAACATTTTTCTATGTTCCGAAATAAATTTAAAATGACAAATAAAACGAAAGACACAATACAATTTTTCTTTTCTTAAAAAGGACTTAAAATAATTTCGTTATTACCAAATAACGGGGCCACTCAAATTTGGGGATCTAAGATGAATATCTTATTTTTAAAAGCATTGAGCAGCCCCTGAGGCAAAAGTAACTTTGTTTGTTGCTGTTTCGACAACTGTTTCCATGAAAATCATGACTCTCACATCACCAAAAGAAATTTGGAATTAACTTAAGAAAGAATATGCTGGAGATGAAAGAATATGAGACATTCAGTGGCCAATTTATAGGAAATAGGTGATCTTCTCAGTTCATTGTATTAGCCCATTAATATTTTGGTGACATGGCTTTCAGGCGATTTCTTTGTGAAATTTTTACGGAACCCTCTATAGGGAGTTAGGTGAGCAGTATGTATAGTCTGAAAATTGTAGAGTTCATTTTGAGCATTTAGGGGCCAAATTATCGAAATTAGGGGACTTTTTCAGTGTTTTGTGTGTGTTAGCCCATTAAGATTTGGTGATATGACTTTCAGACGATTTCTTTGCGAAATATTTACGGAACCCTCTGTAGGGAGTCGGGAGAGCAATACGTACTGTAACACCCCATAAATTTTTTGAACTAAGACTCGAACCATCCTTCGTTATGAGTAAGATTTTACCAAGAAATTTAAAATTTCTTAAGTATTAAGGTCAGGTCACTAGATATAGCACCTTGAGTTCCAAAAAGAATTAAAGAGAATTCATTCAAGTCATTCCTTAGTTCTTTTAAGTTGTGGGTCAACTTCAAACGGCCATAACTTTGGGTACAGGATTAGTTAGGAGACCCATAAGATATCAAATGAAAGATCTCTGAGTCCTCATTTCAACGCCACCGAGTTTGCTAAGTTTCGAGCTCGTATGAGGGAGATATGCCCGTTTGAAGTTACTGTCTATTTAAGGAAGTTACCCGAATTTAAGAGGGGTATTTTGGTCTTTTCCATACCCTATCAGATTTTATTCATTTTTAGTAATTAAATAGGGGTCTAAACTGATCTGGTTCAGTTTACACAATCATAATTCACGCTAGGGTTTTAGAAAAGAGTTCAAGAAGAGAAAAGAAGAGGAAAAAAAAAGGAGAAAACAGGAGAAAAGTCAAGGTTTCATCAAGTTCTTGAGGTTTCGTGGTGGATTTGCCAAGGGTTTGATCCCTAAGAAGTGTGTAAGCTTCCACAGTTTTGGGTTTGTTCACCCACGCGACAATCATGATTTATTCAGCGTAATTTTGTTCTTGAAATTTAAGGATTTAAGCTCTTGATGAGTTCTTGAAGTTTCATTCTAAATCTTGTTTTGTTGGGATTCCGATGAGTTCTTGAGATAATCGTATAGATTTTAAGAATTGTTTTTAGTAGATTCTTGTGTACTTTGGTTGGGTATTCAAATCTAAGTGATTGGGGAAGAAATCATTCGATTCTAGGCGAGTTAGGGTCAGAAAACAAATTCATCAATTTTTCTGGGAAAAGGGGTGGGGCGCCGCGCTACAAGGTCTGGCACCCCGCGCCACTCAGTACGTCAAGATCGCCAGGTCCTCTACCCTTTCCCACTTCTTTCCGTTTGAGTTTCCTCGAATCGTACCTATGTTTTCTAGTTGATTTCTACACTCTAAGGTACGTCTAAACATCAAGAGATCATCCATAACAAGATATCATAACCTTAAATATAATTCAAATTCAAGGAAGAGTTAAGAGTTAGTCTTGAGATTTCTTCAGAGTTATTTGAGAAAGTCCCTTTGAGACTTTTTGAGAAGTCTTCTACAATTTTTAATAACTTGTTTCAAGACTCAAGTAAGTGAGCATGTGAGTGAGGAGAATGTATGCATGAGTCTACACTATCATCAAGATCCTTCATATCATGAATCCTAAATCTTGAATTCATAATTCAAATTCAAGAAAGAGTTAAGAGTAGAGTTCAAGAAAGTCTTTGAGTTCAATTGTGAATCCTTTGAGATCAATTATAATTTGAGATAAGTTTTGAGGAAGTAAGTATGAGAATGAGCACAGTCGTATACCTGAGTTCCATATAGTTATTTAGATCCTTGAGTCGAGTCGTTCAAGCCCATAAATTGCGCATGAACTCTATCAGTTGAGTATCTTTGAGAGGAGTAGTATCTTCAAGTTCTAAGTCTTGAGTATTGAGTTCCTAATTATTTTGGGATTATATTCCTAATCATGGGGCTACTACATGTTACCCATGAAGGTCCTTGAGTTGAGTAGTTCATGCCCATAATTTCGCATGAACCCTATGAGTCGAGCAGTCTTGAGATGAGAAGTATCATTGAGCCCTTGAGGTGAGTAGTTCATGCCCATAATTCCGCATGAACCCTTCGAGTCGAGCATTCTTGAGATGAGTAGTATCATTGACTCCTTGAGTTCCGGAGTTGTTGAGTTCCAAGTATTGAGTCTTATGCATGGTTATTGAAAACCTTGAATTGAGTCGTTGACGTCCATAATTCGGCATGAACCTTATTTTAAGAAGTCTTTTTACCAATTGTTTTAAAACTTGTTTTAAGACTTGAGCAGATGAGTTTGAGGAAGAGTAGAGCTGAGTTCATTTTCTTTAAAATGATATATGGCAACTAAGTATTCCCAAGAGTAAATGTTTTCACATTTAAGATGAGAGGAAACACCAATTTCTAAAAGAGTTTTCATGAGCAGTTTTAGTACCATCTCTTTTAATAGAAAGATTTTTGAGTAATAATATCAAACCACAGAAAGAGTTATGTTTTTAAACATATGAGCTAGTTACATTTTCGGAGTAGTATTGAGTATCGATATGGGGACGAGTTCAGATAACTCAAGTCTCCATAAATCATGTAGTCAACGCAAGTAGAAACGGTCATACTTTTTAGATGATTCCGTAAGGCTTTTTAGCATACACTAGTGGATCCACTTAGTAGTAGGTTCTATACCCGACAAAGTATAGGACAGTTCTGGGAGCGTGGGCTAGACGTTATATCATCACATAACTCATAGTGATGGTTGTCGGTTAGAGAATCTCTCACAGAGTTATATTGTATTTTTATATACAAAATTAAGTTGTTATTGTAATCTTCAATACATTGAGTTGCTATCTACTGTTTTAAAAGCTTTCCATATATTGCATCTTTTATTGTTGCTTTATCTTGAGTTGAGTATCTTGTTGTTAAGTTGAACCATATTCATCAGAGTTGAGTCTCTTATTAATGAGTTGAAATATGTTTCATTGAGTTGAGTGAGTTGAAATATGTTTCATTGAGTTGAGTGAGTTGAGAAAGGTAAGTATGTTTCTTTTCCATCTGCTCAAGCTTATGTTTATGCTTTAGAATTCCTCTTACATGTTCGTACATTCAATGTACTGAGCCATTTGGCCTGCATCGTTTCATGATGTAGATACAAGTATTCAGGATCATCAACAGGCGTTTCGTTGATACAACTTGCAGTTCCGGTTAGCTATGGTGAGCCTCCTTGTTTCCGAAGGATTTCATTTACTTTTCAGTTTCGCAAGGATGTCATGGGTTTTGTCCCGACTTCCATCTTTGTCATTTAGAGGTTTCATAGATAGACAATAGAGTTTGAGAAGTTTGTTTCATTTATTTTTTTTAAATGTTTTAAAGACTTGAGTTGCCAATTTTTGGCGACTTGAATATATTATTTTATTCAGAGTTAATCTTTTGAGTTAAAGATTTTGTAATTGAGTTCAATAAATTTTATTCAGTTTTAAGCTTTTGCATGCTTAAGTTAGTCTTGCGCTTGTAGTCAGCCTGGATAAGGGTTCGCTTGGGAA